GGCGGCGCGCGGGGGCCGGCCCCGCCCCTCGGAGCGGACGCCCGCGGCCCCTCCCTCCCCTCCCCCGGCGGGCCCGCGCGCCCACGAGAAACAAAGGGGCCTCGCTGGGTCCTAAGGACGGTCACGTCCGCGCAGTCCAACCGCGCCTGCGCACCAATCGCTCTGGTTTGCCTCCAGTGGGAAAGAACCCACCACCACATCCCCAACGACATCAAAATGCCTTTCCTCCCACAAAGCACCCAGCCGGGTGACCCAATCAAAGACAGGTACCGAATGGATGAGAAACGGGAAAATGGCTGCCCATTGCCCGTAACTAACATGGCACCAACCAGGCTTCGAAGCCCCATGTAGGGCTAAGAGGATAAGATGATGCCTGTTCTTTTCTATCTCTGTATCGCAGTTGGCACACTTCGATTTCTCTCTTTTCTCCTGATGCAACTCTACATAATACGCAGGAGGAGTCCGAGGCTGGAAAAAGGGAATCGTATTTGCCCCCGACTACGTTAGCACTCACTAACGTCACCACCGAGGAAAAGAAGTCACGCTCTGAGCTCCTTGCCCTTAGTCCGCATGGCGTCGTGGGTAACCCTACGCCCCGCCCCTTCCCTCTGCCCTCACTCAAGATGGTTCCAGTCTGGCTTCTCCAACCTCCAGGGCTGGGAAGGGGAAGGGAAAGAGGGAGAAAGGCGGGGGTGAGGAGGGGGAGCCAAGAGGGCGGGAGAAAGGGGGAGTGTTGGGGGAAGGGAGCTGAGGCGGAAGTCGAGGGGCCCCCCGGGTGGAAGTGACGCTGCCCCCGCTGCCCAAAATGTCGGCGCCCAGAGGGAGGTGTAAGTAATTAAAGAGGAAAGCCGACTGACTTCCCTGGTCTCTCGGGGCCGCCCCAGGTCTCCAGGACCTCCCCTCCCTGCGAGTGAGGTGGACTTGCTTGGCCCCGGGGCCTGCCTGACCTGCCCCCGCCCGGGACGCCCGGGGCCGCACCTTTTAGGGACAGGGGGAGGGGCACAAAAGGCCGGCTTTCGGGGCCTGGGTCCTGGAGTGGACTGGGAGGGGGGGGCCCCCGCTCTGCAGGCTGCGGGGTGGAGAAGGAGGCGGGGCTTAGTGGAGGTTGGGGCGGAGCAAGGGCTGGGAGGAGCCTGATTTGGGCGGGGCTTAGGGTGGAAATGGGAGGGGTTTGGTGGAGGGAAATTCTGTGGGTAGGAAATGGGAGGGGCTTAGCCAAAGAGGTGGGGCTTTATAAAGGGGCGTGGCTTAAATCGTGGAAGGGCTCTAGGTTGAAGAGTGGAAGGAATCTCATTAATGCTTAGTGGGGAACTGGAGCTCAGGAAGCAGGCGGGAGAAACTTGTAAGAGTGGAGTTTGGGGTGTGGCTTAGAGAAAGTTGGTAGGCATAGTGAGGGGGCGGGGCTTAGTGTGTAATTCGGAGGGTTTTAGTGAAACTATCAGGTCTTTATAATGAAGGTGAAAAGGGCTTGGAGAGATGGGGAGGGACTTAGAGGGCCAAGAAAGGTCTGAGACAGTGATAGAAGTCGAGTGGAGGGGGTCTTGGAAAGGATGGGGCTTCTTTATAGGAAAAATTGAGCGGGCTTGGAGGTGGGTCTTAGCAGAGCAGTGGAGGGCTTAGAGAAGTCACATAACTTGGAAAGCATGGTGGGACTAAAAGACGAAACTAGGAAGAGCTTAAAGGATAGTAGTGGTCAAAACAGCCTACTTGTTGAGTCTTTGTTGTGCACCAGCTTAAGTAACCACATAGCACACATTGCCACCATTTTGCTTAATCCTCAGCACCACTGTATGAGGTAGGTACTACTATTATTCCCATTTTGCACATGAAAAGAGTTTTAGTTGGTTTCATCTGAGGTTACAGAACTAGTTCTGGTCTCCTTGGAAGAATGGCTCCAGTGCGCTTAGCCCCATTCGCTAAGTAGTCATCTTTAAAGACGAATGGGAGGAGCTTAGAGGGGAGTGGGAGGGGCTTTGGAGGGGAAGGGGCTTGGCAAAGCATACCAGATGCTTAGGGAACAGTGGGAGGGACTATTCCCTGAAAGGAGGCACTTTGAAAGGCAGACCTACGCACGAGTGGGAGGGGCTTAAATTGAGAGGAGCAGGAGTCCATTCACAAAGAGGGAAAGAGGCTTGAAAACAAGTGGAGTAGAAGGAACTGGGAAATGATTAGGAACGCTGGCAGATGAGAGAGGGAGAAGGGTCTGTAAGAGGGTAGGAGGAATTTAAAGGACAGTGAGTGGCTTAGAGGGGTGAGCGTGGCTTAGCAGTGGGAGAGTCTCCCAGGTAGTGGGTCTGTGAGCCCAAGGAGCCTAGGAGGGGAGGGCTGATGGGACGTGACCCCCTGACCTGCTCCTCTGTCTCCTCCTCACTGCAGAGAGCGCCCCCACCCACTAATACATTCCTTGCCACCATGGATGATGCCCCGCTGCCAGCGCCCCCAGCCCCCGCCCCAAACCCAGCACCAGCACCGCCCGCCGCCGCCCCCCGGGTCCCCTTTCACTGCAGTGAGTGTGGCAAGAGCTTCCGCTACCGCTCAGACCTGCGGCGTCACTTCGCCCGGCACACGGCGCTCAAACCCCATGCGTGTCCGCGCTGCGGCAAGGGCTTCAAGCACAGCTTCAACCTGGCCAACCACCTGCGCTCGCACACCGGCGAGCGGCCCTACCGCTGCTCTGCCTGCCCCAAAGGGTTCCGCGACTCCACTGGCCTGCTGCACCACCAGGTGAGTCCCTTAGGCCCGCCCCAGGCTGGCCTCCCCGGGCTGGACATGTACTCGAACCCTGGCCACACTATGCTCTGGGCGAAAGGAAGCTGGTCCAAGGTCTGCTCACCCACCTCCTCTCCTTAGAAAATTTCTTTCTCTCCCTCCCCGCCAAAGCACTCTGACCAATCAAAGCATGAAGCGTTTCTTAGGGTCACCACCACGAACTAGAACATTGATGGTAAATTTGCCCAACCTATTTGCTCCTCCCCTCTCCCATGTCCTGCTAATGCCCCCGCCCCATCTTCTGTTTATTGTTCCCTTCCTTACTGTTTTAAAAAATAGGTTTATCAGGTATATACTTAATTACCTTACTCAGAGATTATCCAGTGAATGCCAAGGTGAAATCAATAATGCCTTCAGAGAACTTATATTCCTTTGGAGGTGGTCAGTAGCTAGGTAGACGAAAAACAAGAAAGCAGATACACAGGCAAGAACGTTCTGGAAAGGGAGAAGTGTTGGAAAGGAAATTAAAGAAATCGATATGTAGAAATAAAGAGGGGAGAGGTATGTGCTACTTCAGACAGTGTGGGGAGGATCAGGGCAGTGTGATAATCGAGCTGAGACCTGAAGCATGAGCAGGAGTTCCAGGCAGAGGGAACAGTATGTGCAAAGGCCCTGAGGAGGGAACGAGCTTAGTGTGTTCAAGGAACTGATGGGAGACTGACCGTGTGGTTGGGTGAAGTGAGCTTGGAACAGCATGGAAGGCAGGGATGGGCTGGGTCACACCATGTCTATGTGCCAGACACTCACACAAGGGTAGTAAAACCTGATGTTTACCGATGGTCTTGTCCCCTTCTCTCTGTCCCCATCGCATCTGCCTTGGTTCAGAACCTCACATCCTGGATGTTGCCCCAACTTTCTAAGTGGTCTTCCTACCTCCTGTCTTTCTCCCTCACGTCCAGCCTCTGCATCCACATCACAGAGTGACCAGGTACCCACTGCTTAAAACCCTTGATCATTAGGATGACAGGGGCGGGAGCTCCTTAACTTGATGTGACATTCACAGCCCTCTGAGACCTCAGCCCTGCCCACCAGTAGGTTATAATTCCACTGAACCATTTAATGAGCCCCTGTATGCAGGCACAGTACTAGGCTGCTTGGGGGAAAAAAATGGGAACCAAATGACACAGTCCACTCCTTTTATGACCTCCCAGAGCCAACAGTCTAGTGGGGGAGTCATTAACTGAACAACTAGGTTAATACTAGATTGCAAATACTAGATTGCAACTGAGATGTGTGAAGATAGAGGGTAGCGGTGTTCTGAGGCTAATACAAGAGAGATCTGAAGTAGTCTGCCTCTGAAGAACAAGGAGCTACCAACCAGGGAAATGGATGGTGGGGACTGGGGGGAAGAGCTTTCTAGGTCCAGGGAACAGGATGTGCACTTCCAAGGAAGCAAGGCAGGCTTTTGAGGAACTGAAGAAAGGCCAGTGTGGCTGCAGCACAGAGGACGAGAAGACAGTGTGGCACAGGAGAAAGCTGGAGAGTCTGCCAGACCCTGGAAACACTGGAAACACAGCTGTGAGCAAAACCAATGTGGCCCCTGTTTTCATTGTCCTTATCTGATGGGGAGACAGGTAACACCCAAGTTAGATGTAGACATGGAGTGTGACAGGAGCCATAAGCTCTCTAGGGGGTTAGATTCAGGGAAGGATTTCCAAGGAGCTGACAGATAAATTGAGACTTACAGGATAAGGGAAGGACCTGCCATTGGAAAGAGCATCCAAGGCAGTGACAACAGCATGTACAAAGGCCCTGGGGTCAGCATAACCCCTTGGGTTAGAAAGAGCGGAGAGTGAATACATTTAGTGACAAAGAGGGTAGGGTTCCCACACTGTACACCCACACTGGACTGCACTCACATCATCACGTCTAGTGCCAGGATGGCAAGTGGATAGCACTCCCTGTTCCTTCATCAGTTCCATGCCCCTGGTAGGCACTACTAATCAAGCACTGTACCCTTTCAAATCCAGCCTCACAGTCTTTCTACCCACAGGCCTCCAGGCAGATGTGACCAATCAATGGGACTCCACACTCAAAGATCTCTCTGCTATTCTCAGACTCTTAAATCAACCACAAGGGCAAATATCAATAGAACCTCTGTAAGGCACAGTTTCCCCCAGTCTGTAAGCTTTGCTCTTACCCCAACAAAAATACAGATTCCTGGACTTCCTCCTGGGAGATTTGGATTCCCTGGATCTAGACGTGGTTCCCTGGGTCTGTATTTGTTAAAACATGTTCAGTGGGACTCTGAGATGCAGCCAGATTTGGTTCAAAACCATTTCTCTGCCCTAATACCCCCCAGGGCTGTTTGTAACTGGCTCATGATAGCAGGGTTGGGAATGGGGAGATGCCCCTCCCAGGGCCGGCTTCCCGGGACTCTAGATCTTCACTGTCCAGTACGGTAGCCATTAGCTATGGGTGGTGATTTCGATTTAAATATATTAAGTAAAGTCTAAAATTCAGTTCTTTAGTCACACTGGCCACGTTTCAGGTGTCCATAGCCGCGTGTGGCTAGTAGCTACCAAATTGAACAGTGCAGATAGGGACCATTTCCATCACTGCAGAAAGTTCTTTTGGACAGTTTTGCTCTAAATGGTTCAACATTTACCTTGAAAAGCCACTTTCCACCCCAGGAGATTATGAAAGCCCCTCTCCACCTCCCCCCAATATACACTGGCTTCAAGGACAACAGTTGGACACCACGGAAATATTGGTTAATAGAAATTTTAATTTCCATGAATTGAGTAGTTATTTTGTGATGATTCCACCCTATCCCCACAGCAATACTGTGGGATGGCCCATCTTATTGTGCCCATTTTGCAGAGAAGAAAAGCAAAGGCCAGAGACGCAAAATCAGTTGCCCAGGGTTTCACATAGAGTAGAAGGCAGAGCTGGGATTTGAACCAGGTCTGCCAGTGCCCAGAGCCCTTGTCTTTAACCACTCTCCCAGTGAGTCACAGTCCCCAGGTAGGCTTGTTGAAAATGAGTGTTAGCCAGGAAGAGTGGGAGGAAGAGTTTCCCAGCCTGAGGGAACAGCATTTGCAAAGGTTCTCAGGCTGGCAGGGACTTGGCCTTTTTGAGAACTCAGAGGATGCCAGGGTGGCCCAAAGCAGAGAGCCACAGTGTGAGGGTTTCATCCAGATCATGACCCTGTCACTTGGACCACATTCTTCTGAAAGTGCAGTAATCTGTTGTGTAGGCTCGATGCTCCCCCCTGACGCTGTCTCTTCCTCCCGCACTCCCAGGTCGTCCACACTGGCGAGAAGCCCTACTGCTGCCTGGTCTGTGAGCTCCGCTTCTCCTCGCGCTCCAGCCTGGGCCGCCACCTCAAGCGCCAGCACCGCGGGGTGCTCCCATCTCCGCTGCAGCCCGGCCCGGGCCTGCCCGCCTTGAGCGCACCCTGCTCCGTCTGCTGCAACGTGGGGCCCTGCTCCGTGTGCGGGGGCGCGGGGACCGGCGGTGGAGAGGGTCCAGAGGGGGCAGGCGCTGGCCCGGGCAGCTGGGGGCTGGCGGAGGCGGCAGCTGCAGCGGCGGCCTCGTTGCCCCCGTTTGCGTGCGGCGCCTGCGCACGGCGCTTCGACCACGGCCGCGAGCTGGCGGCCCATTGGGCTGCGCACACCGACGTGAAGCCCTTCAAGTGCCCGCGCTGCGAGCGCGACTTCAACGCGCCCGCGCTGCTGGAGCGGCACAAGCTGACGCACGACCTGCAGGGCGCGAGCGCGCCCCCAGCGCAGGCCTGGGCCCCTGGGGCAGGCGCTGGGCCCGAGGCGGCCCGCGAGGCTGGCGCTGCGGAGGCGGGCGACGATCCACCGGCTTGGGACGGCGGGCTGCTCCTGGGCCCCACGGGGGGCGCTGTGCCCGAGCTCGGGGGGCTGCTCCCCGAGGGCGGCGGGGAGGCCCCTGCGCCTGCGGCGGCGGCCGAACCGTCGGAAGACACCCTGTACCAGTGCGACTGCGGGACCTTCTTCGCGTCGGCAGCGGCCCTGGCCAGCCACCTGGGAGCGCACTCGGGCCCGGCCACCTACGGCTGCGGCCACTGCGGAGCGCTGTACGCGGCGCTGGCGGCCCTGGAGGAGCACCGGCGGGTCAGCCACGGCGAGGGCGCGGGGGAGGAGGCGGCGGCCGCGGCCCCGGAGGGAGAACCGGCGTCCGGGGAGCCCGCGTCCGGCTCGGGCCGCGGCAAGAAGATCTTCGGCTGCTCAGAGTGCGAGAAGCTGTTCCGCTCGCCGCGCGACCTGGAGCGGCACGTGCTCGTGCACACGGGCGAGAAGCCGTTCCCGTGCCTCGAGTGCGGCAAGTTCTTCCGCCACGAGTGCTACCTCAAGCGCCACCGGCTGCTGCACGGCACCGAGCGGCCCTTCCCCTGCCACATCTGCGGCAAGGGCTTCATCACGCTCAGCAACCTCTCGCGGCACCTGAAGCTGCACCGGGGCATGGACTGACACAGCCGGGCCGCCCCCTGCCCTCCACCTGACGCCCGGACGCAGGGCCTGGGCCAGGGGACCCTGGGCCTCCAAATCCAGACAGGCCCTGAAATGAGGGGATCCTGACTGGAGAGATGGGGGCCACCAAAAACCCACACAGGCCCCTGAGCTGGGGGACCACAAACAAACGGAGAGACTCCTCAGCTGGGCGGGGGGTGTCCAAGAATATAATAGTTGGGGACCCCAAATCTAGGGAGAGACTTCTGAGCTTGGGGCCCCTGGAATAGTGTGGGCACCCCAGAAATCAACAGGCCCCTAAGATGCTGGGACCTAGGAATGAGAAGTGGGTCTCACAAGTACCTCTCATCTTGAGGGCCCCAATAATAAAAGATGGGCACCCCTCCAAGGGAAGACTGCCCCACTCCCTGAGAGCCATCATTCCCAATGACCTTGATCTGGAGGATGTAGAGGGACCATGTCCCTGAATTTTCCTAGATCCCCTCCAAATGTTACCCACCAGAGTCACTGGTGCCCCCAGAAAATGGATATAGCCGATATCTGCCTTTCCCCCATTTCATTCCCTATGCTGAAAGAGGACCAGGGTGGATGCCCCCTGCCCTCAACTACCCCCTCTCCCGCAATTAGGTCTCTCACCCCTACGGCAGAATGGGTGGACCCTAATGATCTTCCGCACCCCCAAACACTAGAATAGACTGGTCTGAAATCCCCCTGCCCGGTAGGATGGACTGATCCATGTGCACACACCCCTGTCCACACGGAATGGGCTGGTCCAGGTTGTGGACTGCACCCCACCCTCCTTAGAGTGAATAGGGCAGAGCCTCCTCCCTCTTCCTGTAGAGTGGACTGGTCCACGTCATACCCCATCCTGTGAACTCAGTGGAAGGTGGTGGACACTGGGGCTTCCCTCCCCCTCTACTGTAGCACCTGTTGGTCTTTCTTTCCATCTCTGTTGGTTTGTCTGTCTCTGTGTTCCTCCCAACCCCAAAGGGAAGGGAGGACTTGGCTAGGGGTTTCCCCTCTTGAGCCTCGACCTCACCCCCTCGTCTCACTCCCCAATGTCTCCAGGACCCCAATAAACCTTGTCCTGTCAGTCACTGCCGTCTCAGTTTCTGATCCTTGGCTCCAGGGGTGGGGTGGGGATCTCTTCCTCTGAGACTTAGGCTCCCTAAATAGAGACACATCCTTGCTCCCGCCTGAGTTTTGAATCCTTTAGATCTGCAGTCCCCAATCCCCAGGCCACCAGCCAGTATGGGTCCGCAGGCCTGTTAGGGACTGGGCCACAGAGCTCTGCTGTCCCCACCCTCAACGGTAGAAAAATTGTCTTCCATGAAACTTAGGGACAGCACAGCAGGAGGTGAGTAGGGAGCGAAGCTTCATCTGTATTTACAGCTGCTCCCCATCGCTGGCATCACCACCTGTGCTCCACATCCCTCGCTCCCTCCTCTGGAAAAACCGCCTTCCATGAAACCAGTCCTTGGTGCCAAAAAGACTGGGGATAGCTGCATTAGATAGTACACAACCCTGTCCTTAAATGCCAGATCCACCTCCAACAGACAGACACGCCCCCTAGAAACAAGACAGGCTCTTTGGAAATCTCCAGTCTCATAGGACACGCCCTTTGGAAACAAAATTGTCTCCTTAAGGACACGAGTAGGAAGAGGCCCCGCCCCTTAGACTCTGTCCCTGCTGACCCCCAACGGAATTTGTACCTTAGACCAGGGTATGCCCTTCAAATAGTCTCCTACAAAGTTCATGCCTGTAATCCTAGCACTTTGGGAGGTCTAGGCAGGAGGATTACTTGAGGCCAGGAGTTCCTTCGAGACCAGCCTGAGCCAGAGTGAGACTTGTCTCTACAAAAAATAAAAAATTAGCCAGGTGTGGTGGAGTGTGCTTGTAGTTCCAGCTACTTGGGAGGCTGAGGCAGGAGGATCACTTGAGCCCAGGAGTTTGAGGTTGCAGTGAACTGTAATGACACCACTGCACTCCAGCCCTGGCAACAGAGCAAGATCCTGTCTAAAATAAAATAAAATAAATAAAATAAAATAATAAAATAAAATAGTCCTGAACAAAAACATTGGAAATCGCCAGCATGGAAAAGAGACCTAAGAGCTTGGGTTGAGGAAAAGGGGTAAAAACCTCTCGGTGACATGCTTTGATCACTGCCCATGATCGATCATCATTTCCTTAACTACAGAATGCAGCCGGTGGAACTTGCTAGACACCTGGGACAGAGCGGGGGGACGTGCTGCCAACCGCTAACGCAAAGGGCAAGGGGGGTGGTGTCAAAATCGGAAACTTAGACTTTGGGGCAAGAATTTCACCCTTTTGTAAGTAATCTAGAAATAAAACAAACAAACAAACAAATTGTCTCCTACACACTAAATTACTTTCCTGTGCCCAGTGCTCATTCTGTGCCAGGCATTGTAACCCCCTCAGAGGATCCAACAGCCAACAGAATAGATAATCCCGGCCCTCATGGAGTTTATATTCTAGTATGTGGGCCATGGCGGTGGGGAAAAGAGGCAACAGAGAAAGGAAGAAGGCAATTTCGTTCAGATGGATATGAGCACTCCGAAAGCAATAGGGAACAGAGTGACTAGGCTATGCCACCTCACATGGGGTGGTCCAGGTGGGAAGAGGTGACATTTGATCTGATCCCTGAAGAATGAGGAGGGACAGCCCAGAAGGACACCTGACTGGACACAGGAGGAGAGTGAGCCCAGGGTGGGAAGGACGAGATGAAGTTGAGACGCCGGCAGGGGTCAGATCATGCAGAGCCAGGTAAGCCAAGGCAAGCATGTGACTGTGCTCTCTGACAACGGGAAGCAAGGTCTCAAGCAGGGAGGACGCGACCACCTTGCGCTTTTCCAGGATCTGACTGCTGAGTGGGGAAGACACTGGAGGATGCAGCGTCAAAGTAGCACGGGGTCCTTGCAGTCTGCCAGGAGAGAGGTGCGGGGGCCTGGACCAGAGCGGTGAAGAGAAATGGGTGGATTCGAGATAAATTCTGGAGGGCGAATGCAGAGGACTGGTTGTGTGCACGTGTGTGTTGTGTGGGTGTAAGCGGGGTGGGGGTGGGGTGTAAATCAAGAGTAAATGGTGGGGTGGTGGCATTTCGTATTAAGACCAGGAAACTGGGGGGGAGGGACACATTTTGGCAGGTGTTTAGGGGAATCAAGGGTTCCTCTTGAGCGGCTTAGATTCAATATGCTAAATAATAGGTTGCATTCAGATGCCTATCTTCCCATGCAGTAATCCTGGTAGGCACAAATTCTACCTCGCATCGGCTTGCACCAGCAGGCATATAAGACCGTTCACAGCAGCAATATTTTCAGCCCCAAACTCAGGAACCAAAACGTCCATCAACAACACAGTGGGTAAATAGTGATGGTATATTACCCAATGGAATACTATACAGCAACGGAGAATGAAACACAGTATCATGAATGAAAGTTACAAAGACGCCGGATGCAAGATGCCAGATACATAGAGCGTGATTCCATTTATGTAACCTTCAAAAGCAAGCAAAAAAAACCCTGTAATATTGTTTAGGATGCATTGTGGGTAGTAAAGCAAGGAAAACACCTTTCTGTGAAACTCAGATTGGTGGATTAGACGACTTAAGCTCAGGAGGGGACATCTGGGAAGCTTCTGTGGTTGCTGACAGCTGGCAATGTTCTATTTCTTAATCTGGTGTTCATTTCATAACTATTTTCTTCCATTGTGTACTTTTTATCTGTGCATCTTGCATTTCACCAGGAAACATAATTAAAGGGGGAAGACCTATTCTGGGGGGGAGAAAACAAGTAAAAGTTTAGCACTCAAGGAAGACTTTTTGACTGGAGATCCACAATTGCCACTTGGAAAAGCCTTCACCCCCTTGGGAACAAAGTCAGCTCCCCAGGACGCTAAACCTTAGAGATATTCCTCTCCACTCGGCAACTGCCACACCCAGGAACCAGACACTCCTTCGGGGGAAAAGAAAAGAAAGAAAGAAAGAAAGGAAGAAATCATCTCCCTTTGGGAAACCAAGCCCGCCCCCTCCGCTACGGGCACCGCCCCCAGGGACAAGACCAGTCCACTCCGGCTTCGACCTGGAAAGGCGCCAGGGTTGTCATGGAGATGGCCGCAGGCTAGGGACTAATGAATAGGGACCTCAGGAGGCTGAGGCTCCCCCTCACCTCACCTCCACCGCAATCCCTTCTCTTCTGAGACGGTAGCGAAAGGGACTCACCCCATTTTTTGAGTGACTCCCAAAGGCCACGAGCTGGATGGACGCTGTACCTAATTCGTCTTACTGTGACCCCATTTTATAGATGAGCTAATTGAAGAGGGGGGAGCGAGGGTGGAGAAGTTTACCCCGAGGAGAATCTCAACGGATCCAAAGCATTAATTACCAGCCAGACGCCGGCGACTCCCACGCCTCTGTTTGAGGCGCTGACTCCTGCCTGCGAACCGCTGGAGCCAGCCACCTGCGCGCTCACCTGACCTCCGCACCTCCCCACCCCCACCTCAGCCTGCTCCCTTCCAGAGGCGGCCTGCCCTCCCCTCCCATCCGAGTACCCCAGTCTGAGTCCGCCTCGTCCTCCCCACCCTTCATCCCTCTTTATTGACCCACAAATATTTGTTGAGCCCGTTATCTGTGCGAAGCCTCTGTCTACGGACAGAGCAGTTAAGCAAACAGGCAAAACGAGCCCCTGCCCTCGTGGAGTTTTTATTCTCGTGGGAGGGGAGACAGGCAATCAATGGCTAATTCCGTTGCCCAGTGTTTGTTCACGGCAAGTACAATGTTGAAAAGTAAGGCAGGGTAAGGACTAGAGGGTGCTGGGGAGTTATTTTAGCTACGGCGGACAGGACCGGCGTCTTTGGGGAGATATCAAGGGAGGGAGGGAAATCTAGGGGAAGGACATTCCAGGCAAGGTGAACAGCAAGTGCAAAGGCCCTGCTGAGTCCGGAAAGAGGGCGGTGTGAAGCAGGAGGGATAAAAAATGAGGTGAAGGAGGCCCCAAGGGTCTAGACAAGTGGATCCTTGTGGGCGGGGTCAGGAGTGGGTGTGGGGATTAAAGGGGGAAGGTCTGGGTTTTATTCCCATGAAGATGGAGAGCCAACGGAGGGTGTCGAGCTCGCGGGTGACATGATGTGATTTCTGGGAGCTGGAGACTGGACAGGAGGGAGGGGGGCTGGAAGCGGGAGAGCCAATGAGGAGGCGTGTGCAGTGGGACTGGCATCCAGGAGTAGAGTCCTGAGCCAATCAGCGCCAGGTCCCGCCCCCTGCCTAGGGCCCCGCCTTCCCAGCCAGAGGTCGGTGGGGCCCAGGCCCCCTCTCACCTGGGCCGGCGCCCCGCCTCCTCCCTGCTCCGTGCCTCCGTCTCCCTCGCATCCGGCTCGGCCTCCACGCGGGTCCCACAGGAATTTCTCTAAAACACTAATCGGATCATGTGACTCTCCTGCTTAAAACCTTTTCAATGGCTTCTCAGTGCACTCGGAAAGAGTCCAAGTTCAGCCTAGACTAGGAGGCCTCCCACGGTCGCTGCGTGCGGCTCTGGCCTCTCTTCTGGCCGCCTTTGATGCCCCAGTCCAAGACCCCCCAAGTCACAACCCCTCTTCCACGTGCTGTTCTCTCTGCTTAAAATTTTCTTTCCTGTCACCTACACTGCTGGATTCGTTTCTTCTTTAAAAAACAACAATAAAAAGGCTTTCAAGACTTCAAAATATAAATGATAAAATAACACACACATCCTAGATATATACCCAAAAGAATTGAAAACAGCTCTTAAAACAAAAACTTATACGCGAATGTTATAACAACACTATTCACAATAGCCTAAAGATAGAAACAACCCAATGTCCATCCACAGATGAATAGATAAACAAAATGTAGTGTACAGGGGCCCCTTCTATCTGTGGGTTCTGCATTCGTGGATACAGAGGGCTTACTGTAAGGGACTAGAGCATCCAAGGATTTGGTATCCGTGGGGCTCCTGGAACCATTCCCCTGGGGATACCGAGGGTGAGCTGTACTCCTACAATGGAATATTATTCAGTCACAAAAAGGAATGAAGCACTGATAACACCCTAAACATGGATGAACCTTAAAATCATTATGCTAAGTGAAAAACTAGTCACAAAAGACCACACATTGTATGATTCCATTGATATGAAATGTCCACAAGAGGCAGATCTATAGAGACAGAAAGCTGATTATTGGTGGACCCGGGCTGAGGGTAAAGGGAGTGGGGAGTGACTGCTAATGGGGACAGGGTTTCTGTTTCTGCTGATGAAAAGGTAGTGGGGACAGTTGTAAAATATCACGAATGTACTTAATGCCACTGAATTGTATGCCTCAAAATTGTAAATTTTGTTATGTGTATTTTACCAAATAAAAATAAAGTTAAAGCACACACACCCATATTCTGACTGTCAGCTTTGAAATATTAGAGATACACCTGACTCCTCATGAACCCATCTCTGAGATCTGGCTGTTTCTCCCATCTCAGACATCACCCCTACCCTAAATTTGGCGCTTATTATTTCCATGGATGTTTTCAAACTTCTACTCCGCATCTATATATCCTGTAACGTATAGTATCCAACGTGCTTTTAAAAATCATCCTCCTGATCCACTATAATTTCTTCTATTCCTTTGTGAAGTCACAGTTCTTACCTGAGATTCACGAACTTCAAGACCTTCTGGTACCTCACTTTCATCCTATTTAAGAGAGAAAAATAATAAGTTACCTACTTCATAAGGTAAGGAGAAGTAAATGGGTTATTATTTGTAAAACACAAGAGCAAGCTATTATTTATTTTCATTTTATTTATTTTTATTATCCCCATTTGTTTCTTTTCCCTTTGCTTTTTTGAGCATATAATACATTCACATGGCTTCAAATTCAAAAGTATAGAAGGCTAGAGTATGGTAAATTTCAGTCCTGGAAGTGAGACTATGTTGCCAGTTTCTTCTTTCAGTTTTTCAGACACAATCCGCTGATAAACAGGCACAGATTTTTAGAACAGGCTGCAGGCTGTTCTGCACCTTCTTTTTTTTTTTCCTCCCCTTCACATTATCACTTGGAAAATTTTCATATTTTTACACAGTGAGCTTCTTGGTTATTTTTTGCAGACACATAGTATTCCACTGGGTGAAGCAATCACGATTTATTACTGAAATTTCCTGCTGACGGGCATTTAGATAGTTTTCAGCCATTTGCGGTGATGTGCAACGCTGGACCGATTAGCCTGGTACAGACGTCGTTTGGGGCATTTCTGAGTAGATCTCTCTGAAGGAGAAATTCCTGGAATTGCTGGCTCGTTAAGACCGCTCCAGATTCTTTGTACACCCCAGCCATGGACAAAAGGACCTGTTTGCCCACACTCCAACCAGCAATGTTTGGCATGGATTTAACCTTAAACAAACAGCGTCAAGCTGCATGTACACTCCAGTGAAATGCCTTTTCTGCTCCACGTAGGTTTTTGAGGTGTTGTTTTCACCCTGCAGGTTTCAGCTGAAACATTGTTGCCTCCAGGAAGACTTCGAGGATCACCTCCCTCCCAGTGTGAGGGCAGCTCAGCGCCTTCTCTATGCTCTGCATTCCCACAAGGCTCTCCTGCACAGGAGCACACATTCCTCCTCCCCCACCCAGCGTGATTGATCTCTGCTTTCCCCATCACAGCGTGAGCTCCGTGGGGACAGGGTAACAATGGCCTGTTTTTGACACTCTCGTTCCAGTACCAAGGACAGAGCCAGCCCATAGTAGGTGCTCAGTAAATACTGTTTGCGTAGGATCAAGTGAATGCACGTATATGTGGCAAAGTATATGCAGAGTTGGCCTGTCGTAGGTGCTCAGTAAATGTTGGTCGCTTAGGATCGAATGAATATATTCAGGGGCTTATCACAAAGTGGGAAACTGAGGCTCAAGAGCGGATGCGTCGCTTGCCCAGGCAGCCAAGTGAAGGCTGGAGCCAGGTTCTAATCCCGAGTGCCGGCACTTTCTGAAGCCTCTGTCACTGCTTCATTCATCTCCCTCCCCGGCCATCCCCCCTCACCCAACACAGTGCCTGGCACAGACAGGACTTGATAAATGTGTATTTGTTGAAGGAATGAATGAATATGTGTGTCTCTTGGGGAGCGGGGGAGGCGGGCAGCTGGACCCAGCGTCCCAGGCCCCCAGCCCCCTCCTCCCTCTGGGAGCCCAGAGGACAGACCCCCAGCCCCCTCGCCTCGCAGGACCCAGGAGTCCAGCCGCCCTCCCTCCCCGGCCCTGGGTCCCCCGGTCCTCCCGCTTCCGGCTTCCCAGCCAGTCTTTCCTCTTTCAGGCTCCGACGGAAGGCCGGGTTTCCGGGGGGAAGGCTTAGGCGGTGACACCGAGCCCAGCCTCCTCCTCCACCCCCCACCACGCTCGGGCCCCCTCCCTCCCCGCCACCACCGTCCGCGTTCGGCCGGCCGCGGGGAAGGAAGAAAGGAGCGAAGGAGGCGGAGGTAAGATCCCGGCGCCGGCGACAGGGCCGAGCCCCAGGTCTCGGACTGAGAGAGCCTCAAGGCCCTGACCCGCGGCCCCGATTCTGCTGATCGTGACCGCGGGGAACCGCAGGCTCGCCCGGAGATCGGCCTCCCTCGGGGACCCAGAGCCCCCGACCGCCGGCGGCCTTCCTCCCGGGCCCGGGTCCGGCCCTCGGCCTCTCCTCCCCGGAGAGTTCCAGCAGCTGAGTCCCCAGCCCCTCCTCTGCCTTGTCTTAGGAGCCCAGCCCCCTCCCCAGCCCCTTCCTCCTCCGGGACCCAGGAGTCCACAGTCCTGCACACCGGAGTCTAGCTTCCCCCATCCCGTCAAGTCCCAGACCCGGGGGTCCCAATCCCCAGCCCCTTCCTCCGTCAACCCCAGAAGCCCTGCCCGGCCCCAGCCCCCTCCCCGCTCAGAACAGGAGTGTGAACCCTCCTGCTCCCTGGCCTCTCCCAGCCCCTGGCGTCTGGGCACACACTCCATTTCCCGGCCTCCGGCTCCCACTCCCACCCCCTGCGCTCGGGCCCCATGGGCTGGTTCCCAGCCCCTCCCAGACGTTCAACTCCGGGCGCCCTGGAGCAAAAGCACTTGGCTGACTTTGTCTCCCTCTGTGTCTCCTCTTCTGTCTGTATCTCTGTCCTGTTGCCTCTGTGTGTGTGTCTCTCTCTGTCTTTCTCTACTGCCGCCCACCACGGTTTTCATTATCTCTGCCTCTGGGACTCTAAATCTCTGTTTCCTCTTCTCTGTGTCTCTGCCTGTCTCTGCTGGGTGTTGCCCCCCTACCCTCCACCTGTCACCGTCCTGTCACCATCCCGTTTCTCGTCTCTGCATCTTACTTCTCTGTGTGTCTTCTCTCTGTCTTTTCCTGTCTCTGTTCCCTTCTCTGTCTCTGATCTCTCTCCACCTGTCTCTCCATCTCTCACCTCTACTTCTCTGTGTCTCTCATTTTTGTCTCTGTCTCTCATCTCTCATCTCTCTGTCTCCCCTTTCCCTGGTGGAGTATCTGACCCTCTGCCTCTCCATCCTGCCTCTGTCTCTGTTCCTCTCTCTGCCACACCCAACACGCCTCCCTTTATTTCTGCACCCCCCATCTCTCCATCTCGCCCCTTTCTCCCCACAGGCATGGATCCGCAGCCCCCTCCACCCGCCCAGGGCAGCCCACCTCACCGTGGCAGAGGCCGGGGCCGGGGCCGAGGCCGTGGCAGAGGCCGTGGCCGTGGCAGGGGGGGCGCTGGAGCCCCTCGGGCACCCCTGCCCTGCCCCACCTGTGGCCGCCTCTTCCGCTTCCCCTACTACCTCTCCCGGCACCGGCTGAGCCACTCGGGCCTGCGGCCCCACGCCTGCCCCCTGTGCCCCAAGGCTTTCCGCCGGCCTGCCCACCTCTCCCGCCACCTACGTGGCCACGGGCCCCAGCCCCCGCTGCGCTGTGCCGCCTGCCCCCGAACCTTCCCGGAGCCAGCCCAGCTCAGGCGCCACCTGGCCCAGGAGCACGCAGGCGGAGAGGTGGAGCTGGCCATCGAGAGGGTGGCCAAGGAGACGGCCGAGTCCAGCTGGGGCTCGCAGAACGAGGCCGTGGAGCAGCCCACCACGGCGGCAGCAGGGGCAGCGGAGGAGGAGGGGGCAGCGGCGGCGTGGCCCGAGACGTGGCCTGCAGGGGAGCCGGCCACGCTGGCTGCCCCCGCGAGCGCCACCGAGCCCCGGGAGTCGGAGTCAGAGGAGGCCGAGGCCGGGGCGGCAGAGCTGAGGGCCGAGTTGGCGCTGGCGGCCGGGCGGCAGGAGGAGAAGCAGGTCCTGCTCCAGGCCGACTGGACGCTGCTGTGCCTCCGCTGCCGCGAAGCCTTCGCCACCAAGGGCGAGCTCAAAGCGCACCCGTGTCTGCGCCCCGAGGGCGAACAGGAGGGTGAAGGGGGGCCACCGCCACGCCCCAAGCGACACCAGTGCTCCATCTGCCTCAAGGCCTTCGCCAGGCCCTGGTCCCTGTCCCGCCACCGGCTGGTCCACTCGACCGACCGCCCTTTCGTGTGCCCGGACTGCGGCCTGGCCTTCCGCCTCGCCTCCTACCTCCGCCAGCACCGTCGCGTCCACGGCGCGCTCAGCCTGCTGGCCCCGCTGCCCGCAGCGGGCAAGAAGGACGACAAGGCCTCGGGTGCACGGAACTCAGGGAAGGGGCCGGATGGGGGCGACGGGGCCGAATGTGGGGGGGCCTCGGAAGGGGGAGAAGGCGGGCAGAACGGAGGGGACAACGCCCCGGCTCGGCCCCCAGCCGGGGAGCCCCGCTTCTGGTGCCCCGAGTGCGGCAAAGGCTTCCGGCGCCGGGCACACCTGCGGCAGCACGGGGTGACCCACTCGGGGGCGCGCCCCTTCCAGTGCGTGCGCTGCCAGCGGGAGTTCAAGCGGCTGGCAGACCTGGCCCGCCATGCGCAGGTGCACGCCGGGGGCCCGGCCCCACACCCGTGTCCGCGCTGCCCGCGACGCTTCTCGCGCGCCTACAGCCTCCTGCGCCACCAACGCTGCCACCGCGCCGAGCTGGAGAGGGCCGCAGCCCTGCAGGCGCTCCAGGCCCAGGCCCAGCCATCGCCACCACCACCCCCACCGCCCCAGCAGGCAGAGCAGGGGGAAGAAGGGCTTCCACTGCCTGTCCTGCACATCAAGGAAGAGCCACCCTCTCCGGGGACCCCACCCCAGTCCCCGCCTGCTCCCCCTGTCTTCCTCAGCGCCTCCTGTTTCGATAGCCAAGACCACTCAGCCTTTGAGATGGAGGAAGAAGAGGTAGACAGCAAAGCTCACCTGCGTGGTCTGGGGGGCCTGGCCTCCTGACCCTCCACCCACCTTCTGCCGCTGTTTGAGACCCCCAGTTTGCAATATGGAGGAGGGAAGTTGAAGGAGAGGCACCTCCTCTGTCTACCCACCCCTCCCCTTCAAGCCCTTGACACTAAGGAGAGGGGGGCCCTGGACCGCCCCTCCCTCCCATGGCCCCTCCCTCACCCCATGCTGGTTAGGAACCGCTCACCCCAACACGTGTCTTAAGGCAGGACGACTTGGAAAAGGAGTCACAGGACAGAGGGACAGAGCCTGGTGGGGATGCCCCCGCCTGCCTGTCCCCATTATACACACTGGACACCATCACCTCTTTGGAACTGCCAGACCCTGGGGGTCCCCAGTGAGCAAAGGTCTGTCCTTGTCCCTTTGTCTGTCTGTGAATAAATGTGAGTTCGTGACACCCGAGAGAGTGTGGCTGTCTGTAGAGATGGGGGGCTGGCTGAGGGGGTCTGGAGTGAGTCTGTATTTATTCAACAGGCTCTGAGCTTGGGTTCAGAGAAGGGAGGAAGGGTGCAGGTCCTCGCATTAGGAAGCACAGGGCCCTCAGCCAGGTGAGGAGTCGTGAACCCCGGGTTGAGAAGAAACAGGAGTGTGAGAAGATAGGTTACCTTTACCACTGTCCTGTGAAATCTGCGTCCGCTCATTCAGTAAAGTTCACCGTGCCCTCACTCGGTGTCCCGCCTGGTGCTGGGACCTGCGGGTACTGAGCAGGAAGTCATTCCTTTCCCCTGGAGAAGCTGGAGTTCTGGCGCTGCACTGTCCAGCAGAGCTTTTTGTGATGATAGAATGTTCTAGATCTCGGCTGCCCAATTCGATATCCACTATCCATACATGACTGTTTCCATGTAAATCTAGAATAAGTCAATACATTTCAAATAACTAAAATGAAATAAAAGTAGAAGTTTGGTTCCTCGGTAACACTGTCTCAAGGGCCTCACGTGGCCGGTGGCTGCCATGTCGGACTGAAGATCTAGAACATTGCTCAACGGTTCTGTGGGACAGTGCCGGCCCAGATAAACCGCTACGCAGTATAGCATCGGTACAGAAAGGGCTACCTACAGAGAGCCACGGGACGCTGTGACGGCAGAGCAAGAGTTGGAGGACGGGTTTCTCTGGTGATGAGACGTTTGACTTGAATGAAGACAGAAGGACCCAGACAGGAGAGGAGCGCTCCAGGCAGAGGGAACAACAGGAGCAAAGACGGGGAGGCGGGAGGGTGCCACACATTTGAAAAACCGCAAGGAATGGAGGGTAGCTTGGGAAGTTTCAGTTTCTACAAATCCTCTGGGTGTTGTTTTTTGCTTTGTTTATTTTGACCCATTTTTTAGTGGAGGGGGAAGGATATCTCCCAGCCAATCTTCCTTAAACCCCTTTCTCTTTCCTTCCCTTGACATCCTGCTTTCCCCACTTCCCCCAGCACCTTCCCTGGCTCTCTGTCGCCCTAGGCAAGTATTAAAAATAACAACATTGACCACGTAGGTGTCTTCGCACCTGCAAGAATAAACAAGGGAAAGGTGAGAGCATTCCCGTTTTCCAGGTCAGCAAGCTGAGACTACGAGAGGAAAGGTGGTTTCCCCGGTGTGACAATGACACCAGATGGATCAAAGGAGGGAGAGAGGGAGGCTGGGAAGATAGTGCCTGAGGGTCAAGGCCTGAGATGAAGACCTGCAGAGAATTCCCCCATCGATGAGTTAAGATGTCCTGGCTGAGTGCTTGGAACAGTGCCGGCATGTAGTTAGGCGTCAATACATGTTAGCTCATTTGATCATCACTGAGTTTGATTCCAGCGCTGGATGTTGGGGATAGCGTGTGGAATGAGACCACCTGGGCACCTGCCCTTGTGAAGCTGACAGACCAGCTCAGGAGATGGACTGTAATCAAATATTGGCACAAATAAATCAGGGCTACCAAATGAGATGGGTCCCCCAAAGAACTAGATCCCGTGAGAAGCTTTCACCAAACCTCGAGTGTCGGGGAGGTGGGAGGCTGGCGTATGCTTTTACTACTTCAGAGCCACTTCCTCTGCAGGAACTTCCAGGGGCTCCCTATTAGCATGTCGAAATGTGGGCCCCCATTTAGTGAGAGCCAGACACCTGATCGGCACAATGTCATGGATAGAACCTGTCAAGGGAGGGAAGGATAAAACCCCATTTATGGAAGGGACAAGTGGAGGCTTAAAGTGAAGAAGTCATTTGTCCTATTTCAATGTCACTACCACACATCGAGCCCTTCCCATTGCGAGAGTTAGTCGTGGGAAGGGCTAACGACAGAGCTTGGCATCGGTCAGAGGTTGTTGCTGTTGTTGCTCTGGCATTATTCTCACAGCGCGGCGTATGCGTGCTCTCAGCGAATCCTTGCGCCTCCCCATTCTCCAGGGGCAGAAACAGAACCCAGAGAGGTCTCTTGTTCCAGATCGCACAACTACGAAACGGCAGACCTGGGACTCGAACCCAGGCTTGGCTGGCTGCACACCCTGAGTCCTTAGCCAGGCCATGTCACCCTGACGACCAGCTCCCACCACACAACCCACTTTCAAGCTCCCTTCCTACACGCATCCCAGTCTCCAGGCCCGGAGGCCCCCACCCCTGCTCTGTGGGTTTGCCCACCACCTTCCCTCTACCCTGTGTGACCTGCTGCCTTGGGGGAGAAACGTTCCCAGAACAAAATACAGAACTGACAAAAAGAAAAGGGCCTTAGAGATGGAGCCTGGCTGTCCCATGTGTAGGTGAAAAACCTGAGGCCCAGGTTTGTAGGACAGACACAAGGAAATGGTAAAGTAACCAAATGATGACCATTATTGAAATAGCAGCGGTCATGTATGGAACCCTATCATTTGTCTTCGATATATTTTACATATATGATTGCAACCACATTTGTTAATAATAAAAAATACATTTCTTGAGTATTTACCCTATGTCTGTTTTTAAGGAGATCACACAGATTAGCTCATTTAATCCTCACAACAGCCCCATAAGATAGATACAGTTATGGGCTCTGTTTTTGTTTTCATTTTTGTTTTTCTTATGCATCTTTATTGCAGTATCATTGACATGTAGAATTCATCTGTTTTAAGTGTGCGATTCAATGATTTTTAATAAATGTACGGAGTTGTGCAACTGTCCCCACAATCCAATTTTAGAACAGTTCTATTACCGCAAGAAGATATCTCATGCCCATTACTAGTCATTTCCCATTCCCACCCCACGCTCCAGGCAACCACTAATCTACTTTCTATCTCTACAGATTTACCTATTCTGGACAGTTTATGCAAACGGAATCATGCAATATGTGGCTTTGGTGACTCTCCTCTTTTGCTTGGTATAATGTCCTCAAGGTTCATGCACATTGTAAAGTGTATCAGTACCATGGTAAAGTGTATCAGTATTTCATTTCTTTTTATAGCTGAATAATATTCCGTTGTATGGATAGACCACATTTTGCTTATTCATTCATCGGTCCATGGGTGTTTGGATTGTTTCCACTCTTTGGCTGTTTGAGTAATGCTGCTACAAACATGCATGTACCACTCTTGTGTGGGCATATGTTTTCATTTCTTTTGGGCAGATTTCTAGGAGCGGAATTGTTGGGCTGTGTGGGAAGTCTGTGGTTCGCTTTTTAAGAAAGTGCCAGACTGTTTCCCAAAGTGACTGCACCATTTACGGCCTTGCCAGCAATGAAGAGGTTTCCCTCCAGGCCCCGTTTTCCTCAGGAGGAAACCCAAGGGTGGAGATATGAACTGACTTAGCCAAGGCCACACAGCTAGTAAGTAGCAGAGCTGGACATGACCCCAGGGGTCATTGTTCCAAAGCCTGTGCTCTTAACCCTGACATATTCGTCCTTATCCCACTCATTCATTCACTCACTCAATCTTCCTAAAACTATTTACTGCGCCTCTACTATGTGCCGGGCACTGTCCTATGTGCTACTCACTTCAGACAGATTCTTCCCCATATGGGTCTTCCATTCTAGTGAAAGAAATCAGGCGAGAAGACATCAAGCAAGTAACTTAGAAAGCATCTTTCTAGGGGCCAAATGCAGGGGAGAAAGATGGTGCAGGACCAGGGAGGTGGAACTGCAGGTCTGCAGGAGAGAGCCCGAGTGCCAGGGGCAGGGCCCCGCTAGTGCAAAGATTCTGAGGCAGGAATGTGACCCGTGTGTTCAAGGAGCAGTGAGGCCAGCAAGGCTGGAGGGAAGCGAAAGAGGGAGGAAGGGAATGAGAGGAGAGGTGCCCAGGGAGGCGAGAGGAGCAAGGTCAGGTAGGGACTCCTAAGGACTCTGGTTTCTACTCCAAGGGAGATGGGGAGCCTTGGAGGGTTCCTGCAGAGGCTGCCAGAGAGACCGGAGGTGCAATTTCAGCCAGGGTGATCCAGGAGGGCCTCTGGGCTGGGGGAGACTTGATCCCAATGAGTCAGGGAGTTGAGCATGGGAAGTGCTGAGCTGGGGCACCCCTACTTTCCAGGGGGTTCTGAGGGGACCCTCACATGCCCGCAGACACCCAGAGATGAAGAGCTGGGCCTGCAATCCCAGCGCCCAGCCATCTGTTCTGTGAGCCGGAGCAGGCCGCCGCCTCCCGCTGCCCTGCTTCCAGCCTCCCTCTGGGCTTGGAATTCAGCCTCAGAGGCCAAGTCCTGGCACCTCCTCCAGCTCCTTATCTCACCACGCCCAGCACTGTGCCTGGCACAGACCCGGCCTCCATAAATATTTGCTGCCGCTCACCCGGCTGCTCCCAGCTTCCCCAGCCCCCACCACCCTCCCTTCGCACCCAGGAACCTGTGTCCAAGCTGTGTCCCGCCTTAGCAAATCAGCTCTCTGGTCTCAGGGAGGGAGGGGGATGTTCACGGAAGCAAATGTGGACCCAGGAAGAGGGAAGGGACCCACCTAAGGTCACCAGGAGATGGAGGGATCGGGGGGGAGAGGGAGAGGCAGGGAAGGAGACGGTCAGGTAGGGGGAGAGAGAGAGAGACAGGAGATACAGGAAGCTGGGCCACCTCCAGACTTCTAATAGTGGGATAATAACCGCAGCTACTATTTATTATCTCACCCATTCGCCAGTGCCAGGCACTTCACACACATTATTAACTTGTTTAATCTCCACAACTCTGTTGGTCCCTAGCACAAGCCATGCTCTCTCCTCTCACGGCCTTGGCAGGTGATTCCCCTCACCCGGAATAACCCCTTAGCCTTCCCTTCAGGCCCCCTTTAAATGCCCAACCCAAGACCTTCCCTACTCTCTTCTACACCTCATCCCTCTCCGTCAATCCCAGTCATGGGCAGAATTCTAAGACGGCCCCCAAGATCCCCGCTACATCCCTCAATCAGACGCTTCCCGGGGTGCTGCTCTGCAGGGTTCTGGCAGATGGAGTTAGGGTCCCAGATCAGCTGACTTTAGGATAGGGAGAGGCTCTTT